TTTTTAACCTGAGTGAAGCTAATGTGCACTTCCTAACAACAACTTTTATTCATTCACTGAACTTGCATGTCATTCCAACACAGGCCCATAGAAATTGTTAGAACTTATGCAGGGACAGTGTTTGATAGGTTCCCCAGATCAGAGATCAATAATGAGCATTCATGGCCAATCTAGCCCTAGAGTTTTCCATCTGACTCTGTATGTGCAAGCCATAAGCAGGAGAGCAATGCGGGTAATTCTACTGCTTGCTGATAATCCAGTTTGACACACATGAGCATCATTCTGTTTGTTTCTTTCTCCCATATAAACACTGGAAACTGCTTTATGAGTAAGTCATTTATCTATCTAGCTCATTATTGTCAACAATAGCTGGCAGCAACTCTCCAAAATCTCATTAGGAATTTTATCCAGCTCTACATAGAAATGGTGAGGGTTGACTTAGGCACTTTCCATATATAATGTTGGTTCTGACCTCCTGCATATACTAGTGGCTGAACAGGTCCTGAATGATAATTGATGGGGATTTAAGCCTATTCTCCAAGTTTATATATTTCTACAAATGATATTACATACATACATGCATACATACATACATATATATAAATAAAAAATTCATTGCATGTATATTCATGTTTCTATCCTACTGTTTCAAAGCATATTCATTGCTCAGGTTATCTTACTCAAGGAGGTGGGTTATAAATTATTGAGAAAATATTTGGTGTAATTCTTTGGTATCTGGGTTAGTGACAGGGGCTGTGTTCACACAACATGTGTAACCAGGTGATACAAAGACTTAGCAGCAGCAGTTGCTCAAAATGCTTGGTTAGTATTAAACTTTGTTAAGTGCTTTGTGGCTTGGCAGGGGATATGAACCGAACCCAGTTGGTTAGTTCTTATTGTAAAAACCTGGAAAATGTAATAACCATGTTAAGAATGTTGCATGAAAGCAGTCAATGTATCTGATGTCAGGACTGTAAACTGCTAAAACTGATGAACTGTAAAGCCTTTGGCCAACATAAGCTTAATAATTCATTTTCTAAAGCTGTTTCCACTCTTGTTCTTTTTGCTTGTCTCCTTTTACTAGAAACAATGGAAACAGTCGTTCATATCCATGATGTAACCAGTGCAGTTTTTCTCTTTTTCTTTGTTATAAGATCTTCTGGAGATAACTCCAATACGGCCACTGTCTTTAATCACTTAAAAGGCAATAATTCAATTATAGTATCCTCTGAGTAGCAACTGCCATTGCCTTTCTGTTCACTTCCAGTCCCTGCAAGTAAATTACTTCAATAAGATTCCCCCTCCATTCTTTACTCACATTTTTCCCACAGAGAGTGCATATAAAATGATACTAGCAATATTGCAAGGACAAAACAATTCTGCCCTTTAGTTAGGAACAAAGGAGGGGGGCATCACTGTAATGATTTATTGCACCCCATTTTTATGCTGTACACAATACTGAATGCAAAGCATTTTTTGCCAAACTGAGTTATCAACGAGCAGGGGTGGAAGGGATATCTGCTGAATGCCAGGCTTAAATAGCTTTGGTTAACTGGATTACCTAGGATAGCAGAAATAAATTGATGTGCATATGTATTGGTTCAGATTGTTTTTGGGGAATCTTGCTAGCTAAAATGGCTTTGTTCATAAACAGGTCAACTCACTAAATAATTGCTGCTTCTTAAAAGCTGTGATTATAAGTACTGTTTGTCTCCCAATCTTTAGAGAAGCCTCATTATTCTGTTGGATCCATTTCCTTGATTCTCAAAGTCATTAATAGTCTCAGGAATATTTTTGCCCATAAGAACCTGCTTGGTAAGACAAATCATCTGGTGAAGAAAAAAGCCACCTTAAGGAGCATACACCCATTATACCTACCTGAATTCAAAGAACATCCTTTTTTCTGTAGGCTTAGGCTAAACTCACGAAGTTCAATATTGCAGGAAGCGCTGTATAGTCTACAGCAATTTGATCTAGGCTTGGAAAATTCAGAGCTAGATTTCTGTATCTTCCCTGCCATCTAATGGTTATTCAGATTTTTTCATACCTCATTCTGGTGGTCCTGCTACTGACCCCCAAATGTTGCCTATCTTAGTTTCAACAGTCTCCTCAAATCCAGAGAGAGAAATAATCCTTGATTAGAATACACTTCTGCTTCCACTCCTGATATAACATCAGTTTTGGTTTTGTTTATTCAGAGTTAGATTTCATTTTTTTTCTAAGTATAATTTCTGCTTATTCATTTGAATAAGTAAAGGCATCAGGATGTGGACTACAAGGAGAGAGAGCCTTTCCTGCAAGTTGTGTCTCTTCCAGGCGCTGCCCATTGAAGCCAATCCATGTCCTCATTTGTGGCCTTTAGGAAGGCCTTCAAGATTTGTGTCTTTTCTGTGGCATTGACTTTCCCTTGAGTTGTGTTTTTACAAAACTGCTGAAGACTTGGATTGCATGTTTCATATTTTAGGAGTTTGGGGTTGAAATGTTTGTTACTGCTATTAAGTTTTATATGTATATATATATATATGTATGTATTATTTTAACTTGTTGAGTTTTGTAGCTTAAGTGTAAATGTTTGAGATTAAAAGGTTCCTCTCCTAAGATGGTACCTGAGTTGTTGTTTTTATTTTTTAAAAAAAGTGCTACAGAAAATTAACAGGTTTTAAATAAATGTACTGCCAGAGTAACAGGAAGCAACCACTTTAGTCTGACTCAGGGAGGATGGAAAACTGATCCTTCAACTGTTGCTGCAGTCAAAATCTCAGCATCCCTCAGCCAGCATGGCAAATGTGAAGGTGAGAGGCATTGCAGTTCAGCAAAGTCTAGACTCACCTCCTGGTTGATAGACTTCTTTATGCATATTTACTCAGAAGTAAGCTGTGCCATATTTAGCTGGGGATTGGTTCTTCTCGATATAATGGTTCTTACTTTTGAGTAAATATGCACTTTATGGTCTGCCTTATGTGACGAGGCTGCAGCATTATGCAGGTATTTGAGTTCAATGGTATCTAATTATAACTAGATTAAGATAGTTTTCATATCTGAGACAAAGCAAAATATAATGCTTTCAGCTCCAGTTCAATTTGCAGTTATCCAAGCCCAGTGAATGTATTTTCACACCAAGGGGAAAACTGTGGCATAGGTAATTATGGGCAGGTCTCCTTATGCCCATGTAAAATCCCCTGCTCTTTGAGTTGCCCTGGTCATTAGGCTTCCAGGTGCAAATTCAGTGCTGCTTATCACCTATAAAGCCCTACAAGGGATAGAGCCTAGTTACATGGGGAATTGTCCATCTCCAGAAGTTTCTATCCACCCTGTACAATCTGACAGAATTGGTATGCTCTGGATCCCATCAATTAAACAGGTCATCTAGCAGGATTCAGAAAGTGTGTCTTCTCTGCCACAGTACCTCGCTCTTGAATATCATCTCTGCAGAGATTCAAACTGCCCTATCCCTGCCTGCCTTAAATGAGCCTTGAAAACCTGGCTCTTCCCCCAGGCCTTGGGCCAGGGTAGTTGTTGGGCCCTTTAGATTGGGCATTGCATGGAAAAGAGTGTTTTTGTTGTTCCCTCTGGTAGCTATTGTCTTTTTAGATACATGTCTTTCCCACTTTAGCCCCCCATATTTATTTTGGAGTCAGGCGGCCCTAGAAATGTGTTTTATAAATAAAATAAATCAATTAAACAGTAAAATCCCTTTACTATTCCTCCCTACAGTAAGCCAATACCAATAATGTATTAGGTAACTAACATTTTGCTCTCTTTCATTTTGCTGCCATTCCCTAATGAAAATTTAGATGTGAAGTTTCCAGACTACTTGATGTAAACCAGTTATCCTCATATTGTATTTCCTTGCTGCCATCTAGTAGTCATCTGGAGTTATACAGCCCAGATCCAGTAGCCCTTTCAGGAAAACTTTGCATCACATGTTAATGTTAATGTGATCTTAATGCCTAACTTGGAAAGTCAAGTTATTGATTTATATGATGCTGTTCTCTGAGATAATAGATGGGTAGGCTAGACTAATTTGGTACGTTTTAATAAACACTTTTTTAAAAACACTGCTTTTTGATCATTGAATACCCAAGGCGCCCTATGTAAATTAATATAATGAATGCAAAACTTATGAACCAACAGTGTAGTTGAATTTTGCAATTGTACTAGAACTTTGAGGTGTTCAGAGAGCTTCACATAATAACTCAGAAGATAAGTTATCATTATGATCTTCTATTAAACAGATAGAATGACTGAGGTAAAGAAAATGAGAGATAGAGACATAGAGACAGGGACAAAGAGAAGAACTGCCGATGGCTGTTTGGTGAGTTCATGGCAGTGGTTAGATCTGAAGTTCAGATTTCTAGCTACTCTAGAAGTCTTATGGGCATTACCACAGCTATTATATTTTAATGGCCAAGCATTAGAAGAATAACAATGGAAAAGATTCCTTGGAAGCTAGTTATATGTTGATCCTCCTCCTTCCAATACAATATTGCACCACCCCCATAGACTGCTAGTACCAGCAAAAAACCCCTGGTGTTTGTTCCACAATGCACTATAATTCATTTGTTTTTTTGCACCACAAAGTCTAATACTTTAAAAAAATAATGAAATGGAAACATTTTGAGTAGCAGGCACAGATGACCTCAGGCAAAATTTTATCTTTGCTTTGAGAGATTAAGTGATCACACATGTACATTCTTAAAGCATTGTTTTCCAAGAACAGAAATAGTCATGTGTGAACATTTTACTGTGAGTTGGTGTAATACAAAATCACAGAAGTAGGAAGTTCAGGAAGATATTTTGCCTTTTCCAATGAAAGTGCCCTTATCAGGAGTATGGAATATCACAGTTTAACTACATGTTATGTTAATTATGTACATAGCAGTACACAGGTTGGATTCCAATAATGTGACTATTCAAGCAGTAACTAATGAAGGGCATAGGTAATTTTTCAGCTGGCCTGTGATTTAGCATGCTGTTTTGTTTTGTTTTGTTTTCTACAGAGAAAGTGTAGAGAGTCTTATACAAAAGCATTCCTATGCTCGATCCCCCATCAGAACCTATGGAGGAGAGGATGAAATTCTAGGAGATGAGAACCAAGCAACACAAAGCCGAGGTAAGAGGAAGTAAGCATGCAGTGCTCCTCAAAGGAGAGCAGGCATTCTTGGTCTGAAGATAGGGTAACCCAGAATGTGAAGAAACTGCATTTGGAAAGTAGAGGCACATCCCCACCCCATCCCACTCCACCTCCACCAAGAATGTTGCATCTCTCTGAACCTGACCATATGCAATGCCTGCCTTATGCATATTCTGTCACTGAGTCATTTACTAGCATTCTTGTCCTACCGCTATCTAATTTTTATATCAGTTCAATAGTGGACTATTTAGACAGAGTTGAACATTAGACCCATAAGCTAGCAAATAATACATGGCAATCTTCTTATAGGCAGATGACATAGTTATTCAATCATGGACCCCAACAGGTTTAAGGAAGATGATGAGGGTCTTTTGCAAGCACTTGTTACTGCAACTTAACTTTAATGAAGCTAATACTTCATACTTTTTTTTTTACTTTTGGTTGTGCAAAAGTAAAATAAAAAGCTAGACTGGTTCATAGATGTGTGCAGGATTGAACAGGATGCTGTGTTACAAATATCAACAGGTGTTGCATTTTAAATATCAACAAGCCCAGGGGAGCATATTTCCCATTTGATCTTATGCTTCTCCCAAACTGCAAGGAGCATATTGATTAACCCTCTTTGTTCACTCAAGAGGAACTAAATATGTTCCAGCTGCTATTAACCTGTTTTAGACAAAGGCTCAAGTGCATCTCCTCAGCAGGGTTCAATTAAGCTTGTGCATTGATTTTTCTATATTTGACATTTGTAAATATGTATTTTAGAGGAAGTTGTTCCAAGCAGTGTGCCTTGTCCCAACCAAGGACACGGATCACCATCTTTAATACTTACTTAAATTTAACATTTTGTCCCAAAAGGTATGGCCATGCTAACCTTGATCTTCCTGGATGTGAAGAGTTGGACTATAAGCTATTGTGATAAATATATTTTCCCAAGACATTATTAGGCTCCTGCTATGAACAAGCCAGATTCTGAATACAGAAACTCAAACTGAATATAGAAGGATCAGTATGATGGCTGAGCTGAGAAATAATCTATGCCAGTTAGGTAGCTTGATCAGCTTATTGTACTTACAATAGTGCAGAGTCTTTGTAATACTTTGTCTTTGGCATCTTACCATCAACAGACCTGGAGGACAGATTCAGGAAGGTTCCTTATTCTAGGAGAATCTGTTCTTTCTGATTTTGACAGAGATTCTTGTAATAGGTTAATAGTGCCCCTCACTGAAATCTTTTTATGGATGACTAGATGAATTTATGTCCATTTTTGTTTTTTGTTTTTGTCTGACCAGGAATCAACAGCAATGTTTGAGGTACTTAACTTTTCTGAAATAGCTTGTAGAATGTATATACAGTCAATAGCTGATCATTTTTTCCTTGATAACTTTAACTGCCTATCTTAATATATGACTACATTTGAGCACTATAAATTATGAATGCTAATTGTTTTTTTAAGTATTTTTCTTTTATTTTATTTTTTAACTGTGCAAACTTGTACTTTATTTGTTATGTTAATCCATTGTATTGTCAGTGAATGTATCTGCCTGGTAAGCAAGCCCCAAAAAGTTATTAGTCAACCAAAATATGTACTAGCTTGATTGAAGGCTGCAGAAAAGAATGGAGATCTGTGAAAATATATTTGATTTCTAATACAGAGGAAATACAGATCTCATTGTCTGCTCTTATCCCCAGGTCTGCTCACTTGCCTATTTGGATTTCCATATACTTTACTAAATATAAGCCTGATTTCACAGCATAATCAAAGCCTATTTTCTGTTATACCTGAAAACATTCAGGGGAAAATGGCCTATATGTCTCTAGATCTGCTTGGGCCAAGATCTAGGTTCTATAATGCCATATGAACATGAATGCATCATTCATGACTGGAGCCTCTGTGTCTTCTAAGCTTGACAGCATGGGTCGGATGTTTTCCATTTTCCACACGTGATCTACTGGGAGGCATGTGCTGCAGATAAGTCTTTGGGTACTGTTTATAATGCAGTACCTAGAATTCTCTAATGACCCATATTTTTTTTCCAAATTGGATAATTTATACTTCCAAACACTTTTAAATGTGGTTGTTCGTAACATCCCACAGATATCTCTGGTTCCTGTCCAAGTAAATGCTGCCTAGATTAGTTACACTAGCTTTGACTCTATGGTTAAGAATAGACCTGTGGATTAATTTCCTGGGGATACTGATTACTGCCATTGTACTGCAGTTATTGTATTTCTGTGATCTGCTTGATATGCAGTGGCTACTTGAGGAATAGCTCTGTGTGCTGGCATCTGGCAATGTTTTTCTTTTGCTCTCAAATCTCACTTAGCGTTGCTATGGTAGTTGTGTTACAAACATCACACTACTTTGAGTTCTCTAAAAGTTGTTTTCCCTAAAAGTTCACAATGCTTCCCTTTGTTTGCAGGGTCAGCTTTTACCACATCTGATAATTTGTCCCTCAGTTCCTGGGTCTCATCCTCTTCAAGTTTTCCAGGATTCCAACATCCACAGTCCTTGACTGCTCTTGGTTCCAGCAGTGCCTCAATAGCCACACCAATTCCTCACCCAATCCAAGGATCACTGCCTCCATATAGCCGCCTGGGAATGCCTCTGACACCTTCTGCCATTGCTAGCTCAATGCAAGGAAGTGGCCCGACATTCCCATCTTTCCACATGCCCAGATACCACCATTATTTTCAGCAAGGGCCTTATGCAGCAATTCAGGGACTGCGCCATTCTTCTACGGTGATGACACCATTTGTATGACTGACCCAAATCCAAGGAGAGCCAAGATTTGAAAGAATGATGGACATCTTGCAAAGACCTGAGAAGAAATAGTAGAAGAATTCCTAAGAAAACCAGCTTGCATAAGACATGATGAAGGTATCAAAGTTACATAAAAATGTGCTGCTTGGAGTGGCTGGGAAGTCTAAATCTGATGTTGCCCAATGGATTCTGAATGTAGCAAGGTTTCTAATTAATTGCCAGATGATGTGAAGGTGCATCATAACCACTAGATAAAAGGCTGTGCTCATGCAGTGGTATATAGCTGTACTGTTTATAGATTTTCCCTCTCAACAAAGGCAAAAGAAGCAATATCGATGCAGTAACTTCATTTTTTTAGGAGAAATGGGAGAAAAAAATGAGCATATTTAGCTATTGTAGTTCCCTCTGGAAGAAACAGAGGAAAATGCTATTCACCACTCCCCTTTCCCATCCTTTTGATTCCTTTAAAATACCAATTCCTAGTTCCGTAAAGGCCATAAACCACTGGAATTCCTTCTTGTTCACTCAGCTTCATTGACTGCAGTGAATGAAAGTTGTGCAACTGCAGCATGCACTTTTGTGGAAGTAGAGCATGCATGCATGTATTATTCTTTTTAGAATTGAAAGGTTTGTATATAATTTGTTTCCAGTGGATTATCCAGTGCTTCTTAGCTCCAAACGATAAATAAATATATTCAATGACAAAACAAAAAACAGAAAATGAAAAGTTGATATTTTCTGTTTTAAGTTCACATTATTTTAGTTCAGACTCAGCATTGCAAAAGTGCACCCACATTATATACTGTACATACATACACAAAATGATACTTAGTTGAGAAACATTCCTTGGGGAATCTTGGACTGAAGAAATTTAAACATTGGCTTCCTGGAACTGAAAAAGATTTAAATCTCTTAAATGAAACCTGAATATGAAATAACTTCATATCTTACTCCAAATCATTTCACTTATCTAGCAAATCAAAATATTACATACAGCTAATTTTTATCAGAAAATTAAAGCAGTGCAAGGGGATTGTAAAACAGGGCAGATAAATCCAGAAGCAAAACTTCTAACTGAATATTTTAACTAGTGCAGGATAGACCAGATAAAGTTTACAGTAGTTTCTGAATTTTTTTTAACCAGTACTCTACTCATTCAATATGATGAACTTTCTGAAGTTTCTTTCAAAGAAGAAAATTTCAGTGAAATTCTCATGAACAGAGTGTTGTGTTCTCATAGTTACTCAGAGCAGATCTGCACTCACTAGTATGGGCCATCACTGCTTCCTGACAGCAGGAATGGATGATATGGTATTTCCACTCCCAATCCATTACAAATGCACCCTGCACTAAAGTTTTCTAGCTTTGATTCAAACTGCTGTTTTCTGATGGGACTTAAGCCCTTCAGAAGGATGGTCTTGAATGCTTCATTCCATTCTAGTAGCAGACCCAACTCCAACTGGCTGCAGTGTGTGGCATGCCCCCTCCTCCCCAGCAGCTAGTCACTTATCTGAGCAGCCATTTCTTACTGGGCTGCTATGTTCTCTGCTGGTTGGTGATTGTTTTTTGATTTTTAATAATCTTGTAATTGACCCAACAATGGCCTGATAAATGAATGAACCATTCTCAATCCTAGAAGCTCATGTTCCATTCAACCCTTCATCTTCCAGTAGGAGGTCTTTTGATTTTTGTTCCTCTTGCTTTCCAATCCCTGCGAAGCTTCCCTTCCCTTCCCTTCCCTTCCCTTCCCTTCCCTTCCCTTCCCTTCCCTTCCCT